GCAGTGTTCCTGTTCTAACTACAGGATAAAGATCTTTGGGACTGTGTGTCGGTCACCATGAGTCACAATTGGATGTCCGTTTCGCGCCCTCCGTTTCTTGATGGTTCTAACTATGCATACTGGAAATCCTTTGATGTTGATGAGATCACGAAGGCCCTTACCTCTCTTACTAAAAATGCCTCAAAGCTGAAGAAATTACAGAAGATAAGGTTTCAAGGAAACATGCCCTCTGAAGGTGGTAAGAACACTTCTCAGCAACTTGGTGAGCGAGGTTCCAACGTACAACAATACAAGGTTCAGAACATCGACCAAGGAGTTGAAAGGGACCAGTGTTGAGAATGCAAAGGGTTTGGTCACTTTCAGAAGGAATGTCCAAACTTCAAGAGAAAGAACAAGGTTTATAAGGCAACATGGTCCGACTGCAGTGATGAGGAGAATGAAGAATCTGAGAAGACTGAAAATTTTCACTATTCTAATAACTTTGTTAAATGTCTTCTTAATGAATATAACTGTTTTACATCCTCTGTGCATCTTACTGATGTTGAATCTGATGCAGGTTCTTACGCAAAGAACCTAAGCGATGCTGAATCTGAGGAGTTATCTGATCCTGCTGAGGAGAACCTACAACTCCACAAATATGCCATAGAGAAGTGTCTCAAAGCTGTAGAAATCATCAAGAAATACCAAGCTCAAAAGGGAAGAATGAAGCTGTTGGAACATCGTTCTGCAGAGCATGAGAAGGAGATCGCCTACTTGAAGGAGGAACTTCAGAAAACTCGTGTGATGAACGGCGAATTGAATGATAAACTGACCAGATCTGATGTTCGTAACAGCAAAGAGGAACATAAGCTGGATGAATTTGTTGCCAAAATCACGATGTTCGAACACGAGAAGAAGTTGTCCAAGCAGGTATGTGATGAAAACAATTTTGTCATTGAGTCTCTACGTAATGAAATGTTTGCCTTGCAGAAAACTATAGGTGAAAGGGATTCTGAGATTGCGGCCCTCAAACAAGAACTCGGTCGTGTGATGGAAGAACATGTGACTCTTCGAAGCCATTGTTCAACCTTGGAACAAAAGCTCAGCAAGAGTGAGGAGATTGTCAAAATTATCAATAAGCCAAAGTCCTCATTTGCTGAAGTTCAAAGGATGAGTCATCAGTTTGCGTGTTCAGACCAGAGTAAGAACTCCTCCAATCAGAAACTGAAAGGTAAAGTGGGTGAACCAAGCACGTCTCTAAGTAAGTCCTCTCTAACTTTTGTGAAAGAAGGTTCCAACTCTGATGGTAAGATTGATCAGGTTTCTGTGAAAGAACACCGTAAACGTTTTGTGAAAAATTTCATTCCTACTTGTCATTATTGTGGTGTTCTCGGTCATATTCGTCCTAGATGCTATAGGATGCTTAATGATTTGCATGCAGGAAGAATCAATGACTGGAATCCCGCTGGTGTTCCAATGAAGACACCAAAACTGAAGGTCGACGTAAAGAACCATAAGCAACAGAAAATTTGGGTTCCCAAAAAGAATCATACTTGTCTTTCATCTGTGGTTGCTTCAAAATCCGTTTCTAATTGTGATTGGTATTTTGACAGTGGATGTTCCAGGCACATGACGGGTGTTAAATCGAATTTGATTGATGTTGTACC